TCAATAGTATTAGTGGCATAGTTTACTCCTCAGTCATTTAGTACCTGTGTGACCCTGGGCAACTCACTTATCCCTGTTAGCCTCAGTTTCCTCATCTATAAAATAAGCTGGAGAAGGAAATGGCAGACCTTTCCAGTATCTTTGCCAAGAAAACCCCAAATGAGGTCATAAAGAGTTAGACACAACTGAAAAACAACATCCATTAATCAATCAACAAATATTTTCTAAGCTCCTACTTGCCAGACAGTGTGGTAAGCACTAGGCATACAATAGAGGCAGAAGACAGTTTCTGCCTTTAAGGAGCTTATGATATAATGGGGGAGAAAATATGCAAACAAACATATGCAAAGCAAGCTACATATAGGAAAAATGGGAAATAACTAAAAGAGGGAAAGCACTGGAATTAAGAGAGGTTAGGGAAGGGTTGCTATAGAAGGTGGGATTTTAGTTGGGACTTAAAGTCAAGGGGTTAGAAGTCAGAGCAGAGGAGTCAGGAGGATCTGGATTCAAATCCAGCCTTAGACCCTTACCAACTGTACAATCCTGGGCAAGTCACTTGACTCTGATTGCCTCCAAAAACAAAAATGGCTCAAAAGAAGAAAAAGACTGGAAGGTAGGAGGGGGCTAGCTTATGGAGGGCTTTGAATGCCAAACAGCATTTTATATTTGTTCCTGGAAGCAATAGGGAACCGATGGAGTTTATTGAGTGTGAAGGTTGGGGAAGGGGGTGACCGTTTTAGGAAAATCACTTTAGTGGCTGAATGGAGGATAGATTGTAGTGGGGAGAGACTTGAGGCAGGCAGACCCACCATCAGGTTATTACAGTAATCAAGGCTATCTGTCTGTCTGTCTGTCTATCTATCTATCTATCTAATCCATCTATCTATCCATCCATCCATCCATCTCTCAAACTCCTCCACCATTTAATTCCATGCTGGCAGGGAATAGGTATGTAATCTCCCAATCTCCATCAGGTCTGAGAAGGGAGAGACAGCTGTAGGGATGGATGGCTGCCGTACAAAAGCAAGACAGATACTTCCCCTTTCATAAGCTGGCCATCACCACCTCCACCCCACACTACAGACTAGACAAACAGAAATCTCGGTTTTTTTGTTGTCTGTCGGTTTCCTTTGTTTTTTCCCCTCCCTGTGGTTAGTTGCTCTTAGCTCATGTTGGGACAGATCCCCACTGGGAGGTATTTTCAGCCACAGAACCATAGAAGAAGGAGAAGGAGCGGTGACTCATGTTTCATGTTTAGTGAATCATTCAGTTGATCCTCTTTGAGAAGGACAAACAACAACAATCGTTGATTACCAGTGTTCATTAAACGCCTACCAAACATTGTGCTAGATGCTAAGGGAAGAAAGAAAGACAAAAGAAAGAAATCTCTGCCCTCAAGGAGCTTATGTTTATGGGAGAAAGAAGATGTACACGTAAATAAAAATAAAATATATAAAAAGTAAGTCAATGGCAGGTTTGGAGGTAGACTAAAAGCTGGGGATGGGGGTAGGGGGAGGGCAAGAATCAAGAAAGATTCCCATTGTATTTGGTTCAACAGGCATCAGGAGGTCCCGGGAGCTTTTTGGTAAGGGGAATGACATGGTCAGATGTAAATTAGTGAAGCTTGGCAGGAGATAGAGAACTAGACAGATAGACAGACAGACGGACAGGTAGATAGATTAGATAGATAGATAGATAGATAGATAGATAGATAGATAGATAGATAG